GAAATCATATACATATGTAATATATCACTTTTAAGCAAACTAAAATCATTGCAATTGAGACGGAGTTTTCGCGTTCATAGTGAAGTGTAAAGGATAAAATAAAACCATTGAGCGAAGCAGTATGGTAGCCAGCACAACTACCATTGAACTTTTACTTACTGCGGATCTATATATATTCCGAGCCTTGGCAATATTTCGTGATATTTACACCTTTTAACCGAATACATGTCAACATCACCTATTTCTTACCGTGACATCTATTCCGGATCATACCTTCCCGGATTAATTATTTCTACCATAATATTCAAATTTTGTTTTGTATTCAAGTTTCTTTATGTCAAAACAATCATACAAATTAGTTAGCCAGATTACTTTCCCCGTGTAATATTTGTAATGTTCGTATTATAATAGTGACCTCTAGAGAGACTAGAAAACCAGACAAACATATCTGAAGATCACCAAAAAATATTGGCGTCCTCCTTGACCATATTCGGAACTCCATGTAAAATTTCAAAACGATCCTTAGACATACTATCATCTCCTCCGGCCTATGTTCATCAGAAGAAAATATATATGCCATAAAATGCAAATATTTGTTATTTTTTCAAACAAATGTCTGGGTCCGTATAAACATCTAAATATTGACCCGTCTTTATTAAAAACCAGTGAGCGGAGCAGTATAGTCGGACGGAGCCGACCATATAATACCCTACACAACTTCCACGAAAATTTAACTTTGCGTTATTTGCACCTTCTTGAAACCCGACTAAGGGTCAACAAATATTACTAATATTCAGTAGACGAGGGCTGTAATTGTACAGATTCTCTTTACCGTGAGTTATGTTATGATGTTGGGCTTTCAATTGTGGCCTGTAGATCGACTCAAAAAAAAAAAAGAAAAATAAATAAATAAGTAACAAAAAATTTAAGTTTTCGGTCCACTTCATCCCAAAATTATTATCTGATCATCACCTTGACCATAACTGGAATCTCATGGAAATTTTCCAAGCTATCAGCGCTATATTTCCGCCCTCTAGTGTGGTTTTGGGTTACAAAATAATGTCTGAATACGTAAGCAGCTGTAAATATTTACGTGTTACTCCCACATCTGAGTACATAAGACCATATAATTGGTATCAATTTAAAGGTCAATCACTCATCTTGAACATACTATCAACTTTTTGGGTCTAGGTCCGTCAGGGGCAAATAAATATAGACCGATCTTTATCAAAACAGGCATGCTTATTCTTTGGCCCGATCCCCTTCTCCATGCAAAAATTCGCTTTGTTTGGGCCATAATTGCGGCCTCTGGAGCGACTAGAAAATCAGACAAAAATAAAGTTTTTGGTCCATTTCATCCCCTAAATATTGGCCCGAACCCATTCTACATGGAAAATTTCGAGAAGATTGGTTCATAACTGTGGCCTGTATCGTGTTTACAAATTATAATGGGCAGACGGACACACATGTCTAGATCGACTTATCTAGTCGAGATATGACGATCGGTATACTTAAAGGTGGGTCTAGGACCAATATTTCGCGGCTTTACAAACTTTTGGGCTGCACAAAACTATAATACCCTGACAACATAGTTGTGTAGGGTATACAAATATGTTTTTCTTTTGTCTAAATCACCTTCTCAATGCTAAATTTCATGGCGTTCGAATCACGAAGCCATTTAATTGTGAAAAAAAATCCATAAGGGGTTACATGTCCTTGGCGAGGATATAAAGAACTCAGAAGGAAAAATTTGTCGTGACTCAAGGGGACTCAAGAGAAAGCGACTAGAAGGAATGTGAAAAACTCTCACATCCGTGTAGATAGAACAATAAAATTCGTATCAATTTAAATTCTTTTCGGAATGGCGTCAAATTCTTCGGTCTGTGTCTTTCAGGAGTAAATATACACATACACCATAGAATACAAATTTTGAAATTTTTCACACAAAGGTCTGGGTTTATTTGCCCGCAAAATATTGAACGATTTTGAATAATGTCACCCCCTAAATATAACCGGATCATTACCAAAATAAATAGGGTCTCTATCGTGTTTACAAATTATGATAAACAGACGGACGAACATACATGTCTATATGGAATTAGCTCGTCGAAATATGATCGGCATACTGTACGATGAATCTAGAAACAATATTTCGCGGCGTTACAAACTTTTGGGACCACACAAAGCTATAATACCCTGACAACATAGTTGTGGGGTATAATTAGAAACTTATATTAGGGGTAATTAAGGATTCGATTTATTTTATGGATATTAAACAATTTTACAATAAAAATAAAATAAATAGAATATAAAACAACCAACCAAACTTAACACACGTTGTTCGGTGTGCTGCACTGTTTAAAATTTAATCTCGATCAGACACTCTTTGATGGAGGCTATGCTATATCTAAATCTGAACCAATTTCAAGGAAACTTGCCCGAGATTAATTAATATTAATTTCAGTACGTTGTGTCAATCGGCCTGCATGGTACTTTTGTGCACCATTTACATAAAATCTGAGGAATATATATATATATATAAATTTGAATCGATTTCAAAACAATTTGGCATACGTAAAGTAAAACATTGTACAAAATGTTTTGCTAATCGGCCAATCTTTGGGGTTTTTTGTGCAAATTAACATTAAATCGGACGAAAATATAATATATATGGGAGTTATAAATAAATATAAACCGATTTTCACGAAACTTAGCACACATTTATCAAGTCTCAATTCAGTTCGCTATACCGAATTTCGTGAAAATCCTATGATATGTAGGGACTTTGGTGCACTATTTACATAAAATCGGAAGAAAATATATATGGGAGATATATCTAAATCTGAACCGATTTTTACGAAACTTAACACACATCGTTCTCGGTTTTATTCAGTACGCTATGCAAAATTTCGTCCAAATCGAAGGAAATATAGGCACTTTGGTACACAATTTACATTAAATCGAGCGAAAATACATATGGGAGCTATATCTAAATCTGAAACGATTTTCAGGAAACTTAACACACATCGTTCTAGGGTTTATTCAGTACGCTATGCCACATTTCGTGCAAATCGAAGGAAATATAGGGACTTTGGTACACCATTTACATTAAATCGGTCGAAAATACATATGGGAGCTATATCTAAATCTGAACCGATTTTCAAGAAAATTTATACACAGCATTCTAGTCTCAATTCAGTACGTTATGCTAAATTTCGTGCCAATAGGAAGATATTTGGAGACTTTGGAGCAACATTTACATTAAATCGGTTGAACATATATATGGGAGCTATATCTAAATCTGAACTGATTTTCAAGAAATTTTACACACATCATTCTAGTCTCAATTCAGTACGTTATGCCAAATTTCGTGCAAATCGAATGATATATAGAGACTTTGGAGCAACATTTACATTAAATCGGACGAAAATATATATGAGAGCTATATCTAAATCGGAACCGATTTTCACGAAACTTAGCACACATCATTCTAGTCCTAAATCAGTCCAAATGGAAAGATAAATAGGGACATTGGTAAAGCATTTACATGAAATCGGACGAAAATATATATGGGAGGTATATCTAAATCTGAACCGATTTTTCCCAATTTCAATAAGGTTCGTCCTTGGGACAAATAAGTGACCTATGCCTAATTTCATCTAATTCGGATCGTAATGCGACCTGTACCTTGTTTACAATTTAACATGGACAGACAGACGGACGGACATGCATAAATCGACTTAGAAAATGTTTCTATGCATATTCTCAAAAGGAACCATGTGTCTATCTCGTTTCCTTTTGCCTGTTACAAACATATGCACAAAGACATAATACCCTGTACCACAGTGAGTTGAAGGGTATAAGTAGGATGGATCGAATTTACATCTGCGAAGCCTTGGCCAAACGGAATGAGATAGCCGCATTTCTTAAACGGATGGTGTCTGGAGATGAGAAATGGATCACATACGATAACTCTGAGCGAAAACGAACGTGGTCAAAGAGCGGTGAAGCACCTCAAACGGTGGCCAAACCGGGACTAACGGCCAGGAAGGTTCTGCTATGCATTTGGTGGGACTGGTAGAGGATTGTTTATTATGAGTTGCTTCCATATGGCCAAACGCTAAATACTGATCTCTACTGTCAACAACTGGGCCGTTTGAAGATATCAATTGACCAGAAACGGGCAGATTTGGCCAACGGGAAAGGCGTCATGTTCCACCAGGACAACGCTAGGCCACACATATTCACAGTGACTCGCCAGAAACTTTGGGACATACAGTCCGGACTTGGCACCAAAAGAGTATAATGTTTTTCTTGCATTGCAAATTTTCTTTAATGATGAAAAATTGGTATCTAGGGAGGATTGTGGAAATCGAGATGCAAATCGCAAATCAGGCATTCTGAAGCATGTTAAATAAAGTACCATAGTTCATATAAAAATAGTGGATTTCTTTTTCCCCAACCTAATATATCGATAATTCAATACTTCCCAATACCAAAGTTTATAACCACAGCCTCATAAACAATAAGGCTAGGGGTATACAAAAAACATAAGAAAATATATTTAAGGTATTAAATGATTTGACCTATTTTATGGATATTAAAATACTTTACTACCGAAGGGGATTAAATAAATAAAACATAAAAAAAAAATTAAACCCTTTCCCCCGCTACTCATTCTCCCTAATCATTTGCCTCAACCGCCATCATGGTTGTAATAAATTTTTACTATAACACAGAACTCCCATACCTTTAGCCGAGACAAAATAATGATTATAACGTTCAACAGGGGGGGGGATACCAATAAATGCAACAGATTCGCACGTACGTACACCCAACAAACGTACACATTGGAACTCATAGTCATATAGACGGCATCATAAAAATTTTCAATTTTTCACAAATACAATAAATTTAAATTGTTCGCAACCCTCCCGCATACCCCTCTCCCACGCGGTAACCATTGTTTATATAGAACACTCATACATACTCGTACATACCTGTGTATCATTTGTCATCAGTTCAATGGTATAGCCGGGCAATAGCTGTTTACGATTTATGTGCTCGACAGCCATTTGGGCAGCAATCAATTCGCTCAGACCTTCCGGTCGTGGTCCAGATTTCGTCGACAGTTCAAATAGACCGAGCAAAACAATTTTGCCGCGATTGTGTTGCAGATTGCTGCGAGTTAGGGCACGTTCCTGTTCGAAGACTTGATTTACTTTTAGATAGTGTTGTTGTTGCTGCTGCTGATGCTGTTGTTGTTGCCATAAGCTCATTGAAAGGGGTAGTTGTTGACTGGAGGAGGTGGGGGGAGTGTTGGCCGTGGTGGTATTGACAAATGAAATGGAAACATTTGAATGGTGTGTGGATGTTGTTGGTGGTGGTGGTGGCGACGAGGCATTTGGTTTTGTTGTTGTGGATGATGCCGACGATGATGAAAACGTTTTTGATTTGGTTTTTCGCAGCTTAGAAAAACGTCGTTGCCTTTTTAGCTGTTTGTCGGCATAGAACGATGATGGTGATGATGATGATGATGTTGAGGAGGGGAAGGAAGTGGTGGAGGAGAATGGTGATGACGATGATGGAATAATTTTCAATTTGGTTGTGTTTTTTATTGCTGTGGCTTTCGCTGACGATGAAAGGATAACGGCCTTAAGATGATTGTCATTGATTTTTGAATTTAAAATTGGAGTCGGGCCAACATTTGAATAGACGTCGCCTTTACGATTCGATGTTGGCGTCAGTGCCAGTTGGTGGTGGGGATGCGGGTGTTGGTGGTTTATTCCATTGCCAGACGATGGCCATTCAGTGTTAACTCTTTGTTTATTATTCATGTTTTTATTTACAGGACGGTTACTTTTGATTATTTCAGAGTGTTTATATTGCTTTTTAATTGCTGCTGGTGCCGGTGGTGGTAATGGTGGTACTACCATCACTGGCTTTGGGCCCTGGAGGGCCAAGGATTCGTTAAATTTAATTGACTTGAATGTTGACTGCTGCTCTTGTTGTTGTTGTGTTTGGTTTTGGTGCATTTCCCGACTAAAAGGGAAATATGAGTGGTTGTTGGTCATGCCAACGAATGCTTCTGCGGCTACGTCTGCTGCTGATGGTGGTGGTGACATTTCGAATGTCGCCACAGACGTCCTTGGTGATGGCACGAATTGTGTCATTACTGTCGTCGTCATCGTGCTCGTTGATGACGATGAGGATACTTCTGCTTCGGATGCTATTCTTGTCATTCCTACTCTGGTTGTTGTTGCTGTCATTGCTTTCAGTGTCTTAAGCTTGGTATTATTACACCTTGTCATGTTAATTGGTACAATAATTGCCGTTGCCATAATTACCATGATGTAAATGTAAATGTAGTGTTGCAGCAAATGGCGGGTATGTTGCCAGCGCCATCTCTTCTGTTTCGTTTTGGACATTTCGTTGTCGTCCGAACAGGCAGAAGAGTTACTTTTCCTATTGTTCTGGCTGTTGTTATATTTATTTTTGTTTCTGTTGACACTGGCCTTTTTATGCTCTCCTTTGTTTCCGCACGGTATTTATTTACAGACGGGGGGTTGTGGAATTTTGTTTGGTATCTTTTTGTTGCTGTTGTTGTTGGTGTAGGTTGTGTTGTTATTTTTTGTATTATTAAATGTTGGTGTAATGTTCTCATTAGCACATGTTTTGGCATATTTTTTGTTCAATTAAAAACATACTGACTGTTGTTTTTTGTTTTGTGAAGAATTAAATATTTAAAAATAATAAACACTTATGGCTTTGGAATTTGTTACATTTTTTAATTGTCGCAACAACAATTGTTTAATTTTTCATGAATTTAATTATTTATTTATTTTTTTTGGCGAAACTATTGTTTTCATTTATGCAACGAAATATATATTAAATTGATAATACCGTTTAAAAAATTTGTGAATGTTATTTAAACAATTAATTGTAGTAGATTTTTATAAAGAATATTTTTTCAAAGGACCAAAACAAGGCATTAAAGAATATTTGTCAAGGACAAATATGTGTGAACGATTGAAGCCAATGGTCAATGACATCATCGGACCATACCAATGCGGCTTCAAATCCTGGAAAAGACCCACGAAAAACAAATCGACACATACCACCTATTTGCCGACTATAAAGCCGCATTCGACAGCCCTATCCGTTCAGAGGTGTTTAAAGCCATGTCTGCGTTCGGCATTCCTGCAAAATTAATGCAGGATAACTTTAAGTGGCACAAGGTCAGCAGTTAAAGTAGGAAAAGACCTATCAACACCGAACGAGCATTAAGACAAGGTGACAGTTTGTCGTGTGATTTTTTTAACATCCTACTGGAAAAGGTCATACGAGACGCAAAGATGAACAGAAATGACACTCTGTACACCAAACAACACATGTTACTCGCCTACGCCGACGACATTGATATAATGGGTCGAACATTGCGAGCGGTAACAGCCACCTTTGAACAAATTGAAAAGGAGTCTGCCAAAGTGGATCTGGCAGTAAACGGCGAGAAGACCAAGCTGATGGTATCAACGCGTAAGACGTCCAGTAGACTCGGACCAACTGTGGAACTGGAAAACTACAGCTTCGAGGTAGTTAAAGACTTTATATACCTTGGTACCGCCATAAATAAAACGAATGCCATCAGTTTTGAAATTCGGAGAAGGATTGTGATGGCCAACAGATGCTACTATGGTCTAAGTAAGCAGTTTAGAAATAAGGCCACCTCCCGCCAGACCAAACTCACACTTTACAAGACGCTGTGATACTACCCGTGCTATTATATGGATCAGAAGCATGGGTACTTGCGCAAGCATATGAGGCAGCTCTTGGGGTGTTTGAAAGAAAAATTCTCCGAAAGATCTACGGGCCGATCTGCGTCGAGCTGCAGCAACTACGGTGTCTAGGCCATGTTGTGCGGATGAATGAAAATGCCTCAGCTCAAAAGGCATATAAAAATGAGCCTACTGATGGTTCCCGTAGAAGGGGAAGGCCACGAATTAGATGGAAAGACCAAGTAGAAAACAACATCTTGGAACGTGGTCTTTCAAATTGTTGGATGTGCGCACAAGTCCGACGCGCTTGGATATCTTATTTAAGCTCGGCTTATGGAACAACCGTTCTGTAACAAGCCAGCTAAGTAAGTAGTAAGTAAGACAAAACGTGGATATTTTAAAGAGCATTTGTCAAGGACTAAAACATACCCTTCACCACAATGTGGTACAGGGTATTATGTCTTTGTGCATATGTTTGTAACACGCAAAAGGAAAGGTGATAGACATGTCTGTCGATTTATGCATGTCGGTCTTTCCGTCCGTCCGTCTGACCATGTTAAATTGTAAACAAAGTACAGGTCGCATTTATTATCCGAATTGGATGAAATTTGGCACAAGTCACTTATTTGGCCCAAGGACGCACCCTATTGAAATTGAAAAAATCGGATAAGGTTTAAATATAGCTCCCGTATATAGTTTCGTCCGATTTAATGTAAATGGTGCACCAAAGTCCCTATATATTTTGCGATTTGCACTAAATTTGGTATAGCTTAATATAGCTGAATTAAGTATAGAATGATGTGTGCTAAGTTTCGTAAAAATCGGCTCAGAGTTAGATATAGCTCCCATATATAGTTTCGTCCGATTTTATGTAAATGGTGCACAAAAGTCTTTATTTATCTTTCGATCTGCACGAAATTTGACAAAGCGTACTGAATTAGGTCCAGAATGATGTGTGTCAAGTCTCGTGAAAATCGGTTCAGATATAGATATAGCTCCCATATATATTTTCCTCCGATTTAAGGTATATGGGGCACCAAAATCCCTATATATCTTTCGATTTGTACGAAATTTGGCACAGGATACTGAATTAGGTCCAGAATGGTGTGTGTTAAATTTCCTGAAAATCGGTTCAGATTTAGATATAACTCTTATATATATTTTCGTCCGATTTTAAGTAAATGGTACACTACCGACCAATAGCTAGGCCGATAGACACAACGTACTGAAGTGAAGTTTCCTTGAAATTGTTCAGATTTAGATATATCATACCTTCCATATTTAATTACGACATATTCATGTGATTGAGATTAAATTTAAAACAGTACAGCATACCAAATAGTGTGTGGCAAGTTTGCTTTAAATCGATGTACAAAATTTAGTATAGGTTGCAGAATGACATGTGTAGCATAGATTTTAGTGGGTTTACAATTAAATAAATATCACATATTTATGTTCGTTTAATTTCACGTCAATGTTCATTCGAAAAGGCGACGTCTGTTAGGATACATATGTAGAATATACCCAAAGTGGTGAAGGGTATCATATAGTCGGCCCAGTCCGACTCTACTACTTTCCTTGCTGGTCCTATTTTTTTATTGACAGACAAAAGGAATGGATTTAAGAAAAAAAAAACAGTGAGCGGAGCAGTATAGTCGGACGGGGCCGACCATATGATACCCTACACAACTTCCACGAAAATCTAACTTTCTGTGGTTCTTGGGCAATATTTCGCGATTTTTGAACCATCTGGACCATCTAGAGTCCGACAATTATTACTAATGTTCAGTACAGCCCTTCTAATTACTTGTCCAGATTCCCTTCCCTTGTGCTGTGATTTTCTTATTACCATTGGAGCCTATAGATCGACTCGAAAAAAACACAACAAATTAAGTTTTCGTTCCAATTCATCACAATATAATTATCTAATCGTAACCGAAAATTGTAGGAGTTATCCCTGACCATAACTGGAACTTCATAGAACATTTTAAAGCATTCAGTGCTATATTTCCGCCCTCTAGTGTTATAAAGGGTTATTAAATAATATCTGAATACATAAGCATATTTAAGTTTAACTCTCACATCTGAGTACATACCACCATATAATTGGTATCAATTTAAAGGTCAACCACTTCCCTTGGATGTACCAACAACTTTTCGGGTCTATGTCCCTCAGGGGTAAATATATACGCTATAGAATACAAATTTTGTAATTTTTCACACAAAAGTCAGGGTCCATTTGACCCACTAAATATTGATTGATCCTTATCAAAACAGGCATGCTTATTCTTTGGCCCAATCCCCTTCTCTGTGTAAAAATTCGCGATGTTTGGATCATAATTGCGGCCTCTGGAGCGACCAGAAAAACGGACAAAAATTAAGTATTTGGTCCATTTCATCTCCTAAATATTAACCGATCTTTACCAAAAACAATAGGGGTCTTCATACGTCCATTGGCCCTACAAGCAAAATTTTGTGAATATTGGTCCATAACTGCGGCCTGTATCGTGTTTACAAAATATAATGGACAGACGGACGGACGGACACACATGTATAGATCGAAGACCCCTATTGTTTTTGGTAAAAATCGGTTAATTTCTGTCGGCTTTTCTGGTCGCTCTAGACAACACAATTATAACCAGAACACACCGAAATTCTTAGCAAGGAAGGAGATATAGCCAGATAATAAACATAAATATTTGGATGAAAATCGGTCAATATTTAGCGGGTTATTTGATTTTTTGTGAAAAAAAAATTCTAGGGCGTATATATTTTCCTCCTGAAGGACATACTTATTTTATGGAGTAAATATTCATTTCGGAAACACAAAATTGGGAAAATATGGCAGGGTTAGAAAGAGAAGCTTTTGACCTATAGTCGGTCAAGAGTGTGCAAGTTTCTATTGCCCCAGCTCAGAATATGGACAAATAGTCACGAAATTTTGCATGTAGGATTGGTTCTGGCCAAAGAAGACTCCTATTATTTATGGTGAGGATACGTCAATCAAATTAGGGGATGACTGAAATTTTACATGGAGTAGGGGATCGGGCCAAAAATAAGCATTCCAATTTTGATAAAGATTGGACATTATTTAGAGAGTCAAATAAACCTTGACTTTTGTGTGAAAAATTAAAAAATGTGTATTCTATGTCATATATATTTACTCCCAAAGGACATAGATCCGAGAAGTTGATTGTATATCCACGAGGAGTGTTTGGTCTTTAAATGGATATCAATTTTATTGTTGTATGTACTCGGATATGGTGTAACTACACTTAAATATTTACAGGTGCTTACGTATTCAGATATTATTTAATAACCCATTACCACACTAGATAGCAGGAATATAGCGCTGATCACTTTGAAATTCCCCATGAGGTTCCTGTTATGGTCAAGGACAACACATACAATTTTCGGTTTTGTGTTGAAATTTTGGAATGAAGTGGCCACAATTATGTGCCGAGCTGTTCACAATACAACCCACGGTGAAGGAAATCTTGAAATGATAGAAATGCTACACTGAATATTGGGAATATTCGGAAAACATGTCAGTGTAAAGAAGTGGTGTTGTTGAT